GAGTGAGAGAAAAAGATGAAGGAGGACTATTTTGCTCAAAAATGACCAATTCCAGCTACACAAAACATGAACAGAATATTATAAACCATTAGCACACCGCTATCTAATAAAGTCACAGACTGTTGTAAAACATGCAGACACTGCATCACCTGTTAGAGCTGAGGTCAGTATTTTACATACTGGCTTACTGTCACTCCTGACTACTTGAGGAAAAAGATTGTATGCGAGGCTCAAGAGTTTTAGGTTTATTACCTTTAAATGTTCAAGGTTTCATCAAGTCTGGAATCACTGCTTTTTCAACAAGCAAGTGCCACTTGAGTTTGAATCAGAAACTCAAGTCCCCATCTCTGGCTTTACAAGAACAGAGTTTCCTTGCGGAAACCAAAAATTTGGAGTAGATGTGAGTGCAGTTCACATACAGGATAAACTCCTACGTGTGTTGACCAAGTCTCTCTTTGAAAAGGCTGAAGACTCTGGTGGACCAAGAGGAAGTACATACCAGAAAAACTTGGTACATCTTGTGGACCCTGAAGGGTTTGTGAAACAACGAACATCCAGTGACCAAACATGGACTGTTTAGCTTCGATACGACCATTCTGGGCCCTTTAAATGCCTCGTCATTTATGTTGTTTTCAGGCATCACCATTACCAAAGACTAGGGGTGTAACAAGACAACATCTCATGATATTAAATGTTCAGAATATCTCTCATTGAGGTAAATGCTAAATGGCATCTTGAAAGCACTTGCTAGTTGCGGTCACTGTGGTTTTGCCTGAAGAAGTTGGAATAGAAAGACGCCCCAACTAGACCTAAAATTTTGGGTTTCCTGTTCTAACTACAAATACAACAAAGCGATCTGTAATAATACAGAATAAAGATCTTTCTGGAGGATACATTTGGTCTTTTAAGTCTTCTTGAAAGCAATATTAAAATCTCGTCCCGCCCCATCTTGTTCTTGTGAAATCAGTATCTCGTCTCGTCTCATGAGCTTTAGGTATCGTTATATCCCTACAGAAAACCTTTAGCTGTGGTAGTGGAAGGGATTTGTTCTCTTTCCGTAATTGGCAACATACTCATCACACATGGGTGGTCTTTGTTTTCATTGTAATTCCCTGACAAGCAGCAGGCCGCAAACATCACCTGTAAGCTGTAAACAAGTCAAGTCTATCTCTTAGAACGTCAGCTGATATTGTCTTTGAATGCTTTGCTAAGTAAGACATGGACAAAACAGTGTTGGGTCGACTTTAACCTCCCGGTCACTTGATTCCAAAGTCCTTTCACAAAAGGTGACAGAAAAGGGTTTTATGAAGCAAAATAATTCACAGAACCTTAAGAGTGAGTATGGTATGACGGCAACATTCTTACGCCGAGATGAAAATCCAGCAAAGAGAGTTTGTGTGGTTGACCTCACCATCCTCTGGTGGTAAACAGCAGGGACTCACATTAAAAGAAAAGAAAAGATCAGGGGAGGCTGGATGAACAGCGGGACATACAGACTGAGAAAAAAGATGGGAAGAAGGATGGAATAAAGTATGATCAGCTAAGCGTGCGGTCACCTGCAGGGTAAGTAATTGGTGAGAGGAACGAAAAAAAACGCCTACTGCAAGAGTCCATTTTTATCCACTCTGTTCTCATTGCTCTCTGCTCTTGTCACCATGTTCTCTGGGAGGTTTAAAGGTTCGTCAGGAGGGAAGGTGGGTGGGTTGGACGCATGATCTGCACTACAATAAGCGGCACTCTTTAAATATCCCTGCACAGACCGTGGGGAACGTCACTAGTGCGTTGAAGACCGCTGTGTACGTTAAAGTCTCTGAAGTCGCTTCGTCTGACCCTCTAGTTGTTCAGCACAATTAACTTCCAGCAGTTTGCACTCCACTTTCAACATGGCTTTGACTCGCTTGCTTTCTCCAACATGTTCTTCTTTTTTGGCAGTTGCCATGGCAGTGCTGCAGATATTTCTGGAATCTACTTTGTGTAATATAATGTGATTAATGTTTTTGTACCTAAAGTGTACGAAACCCCACGACAAATTTCACACTGAGCCTATTGAACGATCAAATAGTTGTTTCAAAGATCATTAAAATAAGTTCAGTCCAATAATGTATAAGTTTGTAGAACCACTTTTAGCAGCCGTAAGCTGAAGCCGCTTCTGTCTGACTATTATTTTTGAATGTTGTGTTTTGTTTTGACTACAGATGGAAATTGGCATCTTGCAAAATCTGGTGTATTTATGACAATATTGTACGTTTATTAATATGTTCAAATAATGGGACAATCTTGACTGACTGCTCCATTGCAATGCCTTTAATCTCTTGGCTTTCAGACATTTTGTTTCGTTTGCCACGCTTCCTTTCATCGTCCTGTTAAGGACACAGTTTGGGACATCTGGCAGACACCCTTCACCTTTGACCCCACAACGCTTCGGGCAAAGGAGCCTACGCTCCACTCAATGATTAAAAATGGTCCAAACCAAACAATAAACCAAACCATCACCCGTCCACTGAAATGCATGACAGTTGGCAGTAAAACTTCTCTATTTTGGTTTAAGGTCTAAAAGGCAAACACACCAAGATTGGTACATCTTTTCTCCAAATTTAATGTTTTAAAATTTAACATTCAACATACAAAGAAAGGATCTGAAGAAAGTGATTTGTTCTTCAGATTTTATGTCAATGTGAACATAAAAACTATAAGTTTGGTCCAAAACCTCCAGTTGTCCAGTTGATAGCTTCCTACAATACATCAAAAACAACAATAGAATGATTTCATGTGAAGGAAGTTAAAGTTTTGAATTGATCTAACCAGAGATACTAAGTAAATCTAGTAGAAACATCAGTGAAGTAAAGCTGTGGATGAGACGGGCCTCACAACTCAACATGTCTGAGGTACATTAGAGAGGCAGAGCGAGAGAGATTGTTGAGTTCATTTAAGATTAGCTTAAGGCTATTTTCTCTCTAAAAGATCTGTTTGGTTTCCAGTCAAATTGTACAGGACATTTCCCAAATTAACAGTGGAGAAATTTGATATAATATGTACACTATCAAAAACATTACAGCTGGTATCATTTTGTCCCTTTGTGGATTAGAGAAAATCAAACATAACTTCAAACTTGTGCACCACAATTTTAAGAAGTAGAATTCTCAATTATATACGAAAGAAATATTTTAAATAGACAAGATGCCAACTCATCTGAATAACTATGTGATGATTGAAGCCTTTGTCACACGGCAACATAGTGTTAGAAGTAAAAGAACAACGGCCATGGTGCACCAGGAAGTCCGGTGGTCATCGTACACATCGTTTTGTAGTGTGCTTTTTTTTCTTTTTAACTTGTGAACAGTCCAAAATCTATCAGCGCTGTTTTCCCCCCCCGTTAGCCATGTTTGTTCCCTGTCAGAAATCTGAATTTTCTTGAGTGAAATCTGGGTTTGGTGTGATGTGTTTGCTGAGTGGATGTGCACTGCAAAAATACAAGTTTGTACTTTGTGTTTTTGATCTAGTTTCTAGTGCAAAATATGTCAGGACACTAGAAATAAGACTAAAAAACTAACTTACAAGTAACTTTCCAGCAATAAACAGGTATGGAAAAAAGATTAAGACACCACTCCACTGAACCCCATGGTTATTCCACCAGATGCTGTTTTCTGAACTCCTCCTGAGTTAAAACATCAGCGTTGCTGTTTTTAAATGAATATGAACTTGTTTTCTTAGCGTTATTTGAGGTATGAAAGCACTGCATCATTTTCGTTATTTTCATCATTTCTCATTTTCTGCATATAAATACAAAATTCTTTGCTTGGTATTTCGGAGACATGCTGTCAGTAGTTCATAGAATAAAATAGTAATGTTCATTTTACTCAAACATAAACCTATAGAGAGTAAAATCAGAAAAACTGTTCATTTTTTATGGCCTCGATTTTTTCCAGAGCTGTATAAGAGCTTGTTTTTAGTCAATAATTCCTTAATATTGATAAAAAAAGTACTAGTTCCACTGGCAGATTATCTCACTTACACCATAGGAAAAATGCCTGCTGGTGAAACCCATACTTTTTCATCTATATTAAGGAATTATTGGATAAAAACAAGCTCTTATGTCTTGCTGAAAAGTTACTTGTAAGTTAGTTTTGTCTTCAAGTGTACTAAAATATTTGCATTAAAGCCTAGACCAAAAATACTTGATAGGATTTTGTGTTTTTGCAGAGTTCACACTGTAGGACCAAACACCTAGAATTTTTATCGCCATGGCGTCTTTTAGGTTTTGAAAATCAACTGACAATTGTAATATCTGTCCATGTAAACTAGGTTTTGATATGAAAACATGGTTTCTGTTTTGAAAGGAATGACCTCCATCGGTTCAGAAGACTATTATGCGTCTAAAGTTGCCGTGGCAGCACACAGTGGGATGACACAGCTTGGGTTCAGACTCCAGTCCAATTTCTATTGCCACCTAATTGTACAGCTAAACCCTTTTTTCATGATTTTCTATTTATGTTCCACTTAATCTTACAATCCTGAAATATTTCATTCTTCTCCAGCCAACAAAGCGTCTGCTTTCTGTACAAGGCGCCATTGTACAGGACACAAACCCCCCCCCACAAAAAAAAACCTTCCAAATGGGAATTAACCGTAAACACACAGACGGGGCTCTTGTTCCAGTTAAACAACCCCCATTATTTGACGTCCCGTGGTGAGCATTAGCATTCTCACACCAGGCGGGACCCGTCATCTGAGAAATCCCTCTCCACATCCCCGTCCCTGGAGGGATGGGGTGGGGGGGCTCCTGGTATCCAAATAAACATTACAACAGTCTCAATGGGGATTAGCTTAACGTGCAGCGGTGCGGTGCCTGTGATATGTTGCTTTAATTGTCCCTTAAATTAAACGCGCAGCAGCGGTTTATCTTCAGATCTCATAAATCTAATAATCCTCCCTCGTTCTCGGTTAGGTTTTATCAGAATGCTCCGCCGTAGCCCTTCCGTCTTCTGATTTCTTCTCAACACGCTGCTCTCTCTTCCTCGCACACCTTGCAACTTGAGCTACTTTGTAAGACAAAGTGGAGCTAATCGCCAGTTTGCACATGGTGCCGTTTTTCATCAGTACAAGTAATTTATTAGCCAATTAGGAATGATGAAAGCTCACGGTGGTGTGGTCGGCGATTACTGCCCAACCCTGAGCCACGATGGGATTCATCACTCCAGTTGAAACGCGGAGGAGCGGGGCAAACGCCAGGGGAGTCAGAGCCACCAGGCTGGAGGAATGAGTTTGTTCTTTTCAGACATAATGAATGTTCAAGTTTCCATCAGTCGAAGCCGTTCCTGTCACTGCAGCTCCGAGGGAACTTCCAGATGAACCAGGAGCAAAACTCCAAGGAATAAAGAGTTCTGGGGGAAAAAGTTTCCACTAACTTACAAGAAGCAGAGGACTCAAAGGTCTGAGATATGAGGCAGGAAAGGAAGGAAGAGAGAAGGACAAAATTAAAGATACAGGTCAGAAGAAAGAAAGAAACACAAAGTAAAGATAAGCCAAAACAAGAATAAAGAGACAAAGAAGAAAAGACTAGTTGACACAAAAAGAAAAAAAGGAAACCAAGTTGAAAAAAGAGAGAACAAATCTAAGAGAAAAACAATAAAATAAAAGACAAGCTAAAGAAAAGAATAAAAAAAGCCACCTCAAAAGAAAGGAAAGAAACAAATCAAGACAAAACCAAAGGGAAGACGAGCTAAATCAGAGAAATAAAAAAGGAAAGAAAAGTCAATAGAAGGAGAGAAAGACAAAAAGAAAGAATAGTTGAGACAGACTAAAACAGTCAAAATGAAGAAAGAAACTGGCAGAGGAAGAGAGGAAGGTCTGAACATGTTTCTCAATACATCACCCAGTAGTTTGCCAGAAATGAAAAATACCAAAATCAAGTTCCAAAGTTTTTCCAGACTAGGTAGGAACCCAGAAGTACGACAGCAGACAAAAACAAGGAACGCTCTTAACGTATCTAAAGTTATATTTTAGCTCCTGGTGTCAAACATCACTGTTGTTCTACTGGCCAGTTGACATCTGAAGCAAAGTTTATGGAAAGAGCCGACTTCACTCAACGCAACCTGAAAACCTCAGCAATTATCTGGGAATATCCGTGGACAGAGGGTCACATACAGAGAGAAATATAGGGAATATTACTGTTAAAGGTGGAAAACCCTTACATTGTTCCATAAAACACAGATTCATTAACAATAGCCGGGGCTGAAAAAAACATGCAAAAGTGGATTAAAGTCTTCGTTTCTTACCTGAGGAGAAAGGAAGGCGGCCGGTTGTTTGGTTAACATGGAAAAAAAGCAGAAAGAAAAGAAAAATTGTTACCAGAAAGTCAAAACAATAATAACATTTCCAGTCGAAGTCTCTCCATAACGCTCAACACAACGCAGTCACTTCAATGAGAATGGATGGCATTTATGAATCGATTCGGTGAATGAAGGATCCAACTTGAGGCCAACGACACTCGCAATTTTCACTGTCAGTCATTAGCATCACTTATGGATTTGAAAGGCTACTGAAGACCCCTCATGTAGCTTACGTACATTGCATCAGTCAGCCTTTACACAACCAATGCTCAGATAGTTTCTGTGTATTCAAGCTAATGGCTTTGATGTAGAATAAGGTCTAAATTTTTTGCTCTATTGTATTTACAGTTTGGAGAGATTATACCCACTTTATATCTGAGCTAATCATTTTTTCCATACAGTCTAGATACTTTCTTTTTAACTTTTTTCAAACTACAAGAACAAGAGCAACAGCGCCTTACAAAGGTATTAAGAAGTGATTTATTGTCACAGATCAAGGTTTTCCTCCTGTACTGATGTTCTCTAACAAACCTCTATTGCCTTTACAGAACAGTTCAATTCAAGACTAAATTACACACATCAGAGTCTGTTTACTAATTAAGTGAGTTGTAGCAATGCCTTCCTGCACAGTCCCCTTCAATTCTCATCTCCCTTCAGTGCTTCGACTCGGGTTTCTCCCACTGAACTGGATTTCTAGGGTTGAATGTCAACCAGGCCAACCAACAAACAGAAGGAGAAGCTGTGAACAATTTTCTGCGCCGTTTTAAAGTTGAAGTCTGTAGTTTGGTAACAGCAGGGGAGGAAGTGAACGGAACCATTTGGTCCGACTCAGCTACGTTTTTTAAAAACTGAGCAATTAAAGTCGGAGCAAGGGGAATGTTCAAGATATTTAAGATGTTGTGACCCAATCTCCCACAAAGTTGTTTACAGGACACGTAATTTCTGGTAATCTTCATTGAACTGGCGCGATAAAGATGTCATGGTCAAACGTTAGCGATTGGGTAATATCAGATCCAATTATTTCAAACTTCAACACACTGACATTAGTTTCCAACTAGGCCTCGACTTTCAGTTGGTCTAATAAAACATACTGGTTATAATGTATCACAATGTTAAAAGGGTCAAGAGGTGAAAAACACTTTTGTGAGGCATTGTGTGTTTGACACAATAAAAGTGGAATGTAGAGGATTTTCTGCCGACCGTTTATCTCGACTTAATGAGAATTATCTGTGTCCATTCAAGCAAGCAGAGGTACACAAACAATTCCCCACAAGCATAATGAGGCAGATATCCCCAAACTGAATCAGAACCCGGTAATGGCTGTTTTATAGACGAGAGAGGGGGAAAAACAAAAATCTGAATCTCTTTAAAAGCTCACAGTTAGAACTGAATTGAAACAAATGGATAAAATGAAATAATTCCGCATGAGAACGTGCGTTGTGCGGATGAGGAGTCACAACAGACAAAACACTCTTTCCGACATTATCTTGAGTCGTGATTTAATTTCACCGCCTTCCAGACTCTTTGAAGTCATGGAGACGACTGGTGTCACAGGAAAACAGAGAGGAATAAAAGGCAGGGAGGCTTCAAAGGCGAGAATGTATCCTCACATTCATATTTATATTCTTGATGTATGTCAAATGTAAGGTAAATATTTCGATCTCTGAGCGTGTCTATAGTTTTTGCTTAAAATTCAAACACTGTACATATTCTGTCAGACGTAACTTTCACTTGAGTGGTCATAAATGAAATCTTCAAACATCTCTTTTTGACCATTTCATATTCTTTGATGTTGACACTAGAAGTTTAGGAAAAATCTCAGTGTTACACTTTTACAATAAATTATATATTTTTTGCATTTTCCTCTCTTCTTACTTGTTCTGAATCCAAACTATCTCAACATTGGCTTACTTACAGACTTCCTTCAAGAGGCTAAATACAACCAAAACAGACATGCGAGTCTTGTGCAAGCGAGAGAAATGGCTCCTGGTCTTTTGCCAAAGACAAAAAAGAAATCCTAGATGACATCAGAAGGCTGTTGGCTAAGGGTTGGAGTCACTGGTTGTGTCACAAGAATCCGACATACCATTTGGAAAACAAAAACTACAGCCATTGAGTGTATTTGCCGTTTTTAAGGACAATGGAAGACCGAGCAGAACGTAGCTTCCACGTCCTGAATTGTCCCGTTGAATTGGTGTCACATCCAGATAACGTTGTGCTACTTTTCGGACAACTATATGACGACTTCAGCCACTTAACCAATTGTAATGGAAAGTCAAACTGTGTAGAGTACAGATGAGACTTCCTGTTAAGTGCTGGTGAAAAAGTGCCATATAAATCATGTTTCTGAATTGCAGCAGGAAGCTAGAGAGAAACAATGCGAATCCCATGCAGAAAGATCTGAACCCAGTACTTTCTTGCTGCCAAGCAGCAGTGCTAACTCACTTGGGTAAAGCATTTTTTTGACTACTCAATCTCTACATGTTTTCAAGGAAAGAGTCCGTTTTTGAAGTTGGCGCAAGGCAAATTCATGTATGTCTATGTGGAACAGAAAGTGACATTAAAAGGTCGAGCTAATTTAATGAGAGTATCAAGTTTGTTGGGAAAAATTTACCAGCTCGTAATAAAAAATCTCACTGTTTTCCTGTGCAGTGACCTTTAACATGAAATGTTTTGCTTTCAGAAAGATTCCGTCGCCTCGCCCTTAATGCGGATGTTGTTGACGCGTCTGTTTATTTCAACAAATCCCCGTGGTCTCGGCCGTAATCCGTCCAGACAAAGTTCAGCTGAAGTTCACTCTCACCTTCTTCCACTTCCACTGTCACTCCAGCTCCCGCTCCATTTCCCCTCATCACATAACCTCTCTCAAACAGCCTTGTCAGCTCTGAAATATTAAACGCAACACAGCCACCGCTTGCCCTCAAAAAGCTGGTCGAGAAGGAAGGTTGTGTGGTTTTGATATGTAAGGCATGTCACAAAGAAAGAGGGTTCTTTAACCAGCAGAGAAAGGCAATAGAAAAACAAGCGTGGCCCGTCAACCTCCATTACTCAGATACCCATTCAAAAAAATGTCCAGTCCAACCAAATCCCTAGTGACAAAACTCCATAAATAGTCGTTTGTGTGCAACTTTAATCTCAGGACTGAAAGGTTTGAAGAGAACATTAAAGAACAAACAGCAAATTGAAGACAAAGAAGATAGGTCATCTATTATTATATGATTATGGCCGTTTTAGTTTGTCATAATTGGCAATTGAGCGGATCATGGTGACACTGCCACTTTACTTCAGATTTTTCTTCTTTGGGGTGTTTTGCTGTTCATTCTTTGGGTCGAGGCATTACATGTTTTGACAATTACTCTCTCTAGTTTTGAGTTTTGGATGCTGTGCAGCTGGAATGATTTTTGCTTTTACCTTCTTTCTTCCAGACCTTTGCAACAAGGTATTGTTTTTACGACTGGGTGAAGCTGATGAGCTTTTCAAAAACTCAAATCATACCTACAGTACGACCCCCAGAAGAGTTGAAAATGAAGTTTAATAAATGCTGAGAGGACGAGGAAGTTCAAGAGCTGACAGCATCATCCCGGACATGTTGCTGAGGAATACCACCTGTAATTTCCCTTTTGGATAAATAAAGCATTAATTGAATTGCGGAACCAATGAAAATCTTCGTAGATCACAGAGACCCTCAGAACAGGTGGAAGGAACATGGAAGGAAAATTAAGTACTCTGCAGAATTAAAGTATCTGAGGAAGACTGGTGAGAGAAAACAGTAAAAAGTTCTGTTCAAACTTTGTTTTCAGTCACAGAAGAAGTGAGAATGAGGCATAGACACAAACTGTCCCGAGTTTACGGGAAGATGAATGGAGCTTTATAGAGGCTAAATACAATTCTGGAGGAAAATGTGGTAAAGTCTCCAAACTGGAGTGGAGGTTCGCCTTCCTCCAGGACAAAAAACTCCCAAACACACAGCTATGGTTCAGAACAAACCATATTCTCACCAAGATTGATGTGTTTTGTAGAGATAAAGGGGCTGAAAATTCAGCAACATAGCCAGAGGACTTCGCCAGTGCTGGAGATGTATTTGGAGGGAAAGGCGGCTATACGAATTAAAATTAACTTTTGGATGTTTACTGATATATATATATTTTTAAACTATACATTCCTACCTTTTCGCTTTACAGCAATGCACTACTGAAAATGCATTTACCTCGAGATGAAGATATAATTAAATGAGGAACAAATCATGAGGTACTAGTACGGTTTTTAAGATACTATTTGAAGGTTTTCTTTTATTTCTAACACAAAGAAGCAATTCTGCCTAGATTTGTTCTAATTTCTGACATTTAAAAAAATAAAATAACAAAAAAAAACAAAAAAAAAAACCCTGACCTGAAAGATCAGGTCTGAGATGAAACTGGATATGCAAAACGAGAGAGGTACCATGTTTTCTGCAACGGTCTGGCAGAAAAACCAGAACAGAAGCAGGAACAACAAACATATCTTTTCATTTCTACTAGAAAGTGAAAATTAGATTTGCTTGTTTTTTCATTTCAGGGTGTGTAAGTGATGACAAAGTGGTTCATTAGTGTCTCGGTTGCAGTCAATAGGGGCCAATAAACCATATGTTTCATTGCATGTCATCACATTAATGAGTGATGATGTTTTTATTGGTCTTTATTGAACATGCAGGGCTCAGGTTAATGTGCAGCTGTGACCACTACATGAAACGCTTTCTCCTGATTCAGATTTAAACCAGATCAATAGAAAAATAATAACTCAACATGGACTTCACCACTCCTCATGTTAGCTCTGATTTTTTGGTTTGTGGTTATGAATTAGTTGTGGGCGATATGGACTTGAAGTTTTATCAGAATATTTTGTGGTATTGCTGTGACAATGTGAAAAATGATGATTATTATTGCTTTTTGTTTTTAGGTAACTGCATGGCTGACGCAGCGATCATAGACCTACAAACTAACATGTCCAATCGGAATGCACTTCCTTAAGACACCAGTCACATGTACACAGTTTAAGCTATGCTAAGCTAAACAGGCTAATCATGTGACTAGAAAAATGAGCCTGTGCTGTAGGCCTCTGTAACAAACAGAGCATGCTAAACAGATTCATGTGTTTTGTTTAATTACATAAATAGTTTTGTGATTCAGGTTTTGGCCCACTGTTCATTGTAATCCTAAGACTGCATTGCATTCAGATTAAATTTTCATTTTAATGTGCCACCCTTCTACAGTTTGTATCCCTGCTGGTCCTCCCAAAAAAAAGAAAAAATCTAGAAACGTCCCCACTCTCACACTCAGTCATTATCATCAGAAACTTATGTTGAACTTGTAGTGACAATGAACCTCATATTGCTTCCTACAAGGTTTTAGGTTTAGTATCACCAGTATAACAAACATGCTGCTGATTTCTGAGCAACGGCAAACTAAGTGAGAGACTTTTGCCTCTTGTTGCTAAAATATAATGGAAAATGACAACAGCACAAACTTAGACGGGAGAAAAAGCCACAGTCGATCAAACACTGCTGTTAACGGCTTGGACTGTGCAACCGGGCACGTACCGTACGCCGAGACGAGACGCCTGGAGATTTTAGAAGCAGCAAATAAAAACCCGACTGACTGTAAGGCGGGACAGGCAGAATTGCTAAGTAAATAGCAGGAGCCACACGGACAAACAAATCATCTCACGCTTTCGTGGAAGATGAAACAAATCAGAAGGACAGAGGTCGAAAGAAGGAGAAGAGGAAGTTGCCTACCGCCTCGCCTGCAGCTAAAGAGTCATACCTGATGATTCGCACTAGTAAGTGCTTCAAAGCAAAACTCCGTTGCTTGTCTTTGAGTTTATTCAAAAGATCCGGCTCAGATTCTGGCCACATGCAAAAAGGAAGCCGCTCATTAAATGGATGTTATGACAATTTTACCTGTAAAAACGCATCTGAACTTTCATCACCTTTGCAAGAAGCTTACCCAAAGAGAATAAATGAGAGTGTCCGACATGAAAGATTCATTTGTTAATGATAAGATTGCATTTCAGAAAAAAAAAAACACCTTGAACAGGGTGTTTTAAGGCATGAGTCAGAATGTGCAAATTAGATTGGGGGGACGTGCCTTTAGCTAGACGGACGTGTCACACACCTGATGAGTCATTAAAGGTGGCGTCCACCGAGGAGAGGGCAGGAGAAATCTATTGGAGCTGCTGGTAAATAGCATGGAGTCAGGCAGGCCTGCTGAAAGGACATCAAGGACGTCCTCATATGTGTTCATTAAGACGGCCACGAAGGGCCGGGCAGCTTATCAACTTCTGCTACTGATCTGTGGTAATGAGAACAGCCGAGCTTAAGAACAAGGGCTGCAAGGACAGGTAACACAGATCATTAGGAAATCTTTCTCTGGGATAAACACACACGCACACACACGCACACGCACACACGCACACACACACTATTCAAGACAAGATAGACCTAAACTACCACATTTTTCTCATAAAACTTAGAATCCAGAGAAACTCCTATCAGTTTAGCTAGAAAAACTACTCGTTACCTTGGATCAAGATTTAGCATTTCTGTGGATNTCTGTGCANCATGTAAGCATCGGGCTCCTACAACCATCTCTGTACAAGTACAGGTGAGAACATAATATACCCAACAGGGACAGCTGGAACTAATTACAGAGGCAGGAGAAGACAAATGAGAAGGTCTGAAGTAAAATTATCAGAGGACAAACACCCCAACGCCGTGATAGAGAAGAAGCTCTTAGCAACCAAAGTGAACAAACCATCAATCGGCCATCAGACAGTAACTTACAAAATCATATGAATGCCTGGATGTCTGTAAATATCCACTACTGCTATTTACCATTGGCTGAAGATTCAAAACTCAAACATTGCCTCAGGGGTAGAAATGCTCTCAAATAGGACCAAACAGAATGTAATGGAAAGAGTTGTATAAAGATAGGATGGCTGAAATTATCCCTGGTGCTCAGGGACTAAGGTTGTTCTCTATGAGCTCAGTAAGAGATTCTGAGGATCCTAGTAAATACAGTCCACTTCCAGTATTCACAGGGATTAGGAACCACAACCGCCCAGGAACGAATGAGATCCACAAATACTTGAGACGCCCCTTTAAAAACTTTCATAACTGCTTAGTTTATAAGTTCAAAGACCAATTTACTTCAAACTCTCATCCGAAAACACTTCAACGCCAATTTAAAAATCAACCTTAAAAATATACAGCTTACAACTGAACAACAGTTCAGCTGTGACTCTTACCAAAGTGAAACCTAATCTAGCCAGCCCTATACTCAGACACATTCTCTTTCACACACAATTCAAGCCTTTCTGTTTTAACATATACGGAAGAGAAGGTTAATATTGCAAATGTGCATAAAATGTTGTTTTTCCATAAGCGGAACGCTGACAATTCTGCAATTGTAAGAATTGTCAGAATTCTGACAATTGAAAGAGAGCTGTGCAAGTTCCATTAAATAAGAAACTAAATTAAAATCACGTGGATAAGCTAGCTAGCTTTTTATGTTTCAGAGCAGTCGCCGTGTCCTCCGTGTGCCGACAAACTACACAGAAAGATTTTCTCATTGACCCTGAACCTTGCACATCTTAGCTGACGTTAGCTAATTCTGTGTAATTCCACGTTTCTTTTGTTTATTAAATCCCGCGATTCAGTCCCAGTTTTCCGCCTCACAAAAATCATATTGCCCTACATATCCTCTTGCCTATCATTCCCTCTAAAAC